GGGGGGGGGGGTCAGCTCTCATGCCACACGCCTACTGTTGGAGACGCTCACATAAAGTGGCCGCGATAGTCGGGCAGGCCAGAGTCTTTTGGCGCTGGCAAGATGGACTTTGCCACTCCCCAGTAAGCAAGAACGGCAGCCACGACGTCTAGAGCAGCAGCGGCAAGAAAGCCCCTTGCGCGAGCGACGACGTTGACTGTCAGATTTGCGCATCTAAGACCGTACGGGTCTAGCTCTAGGTCGCTTCGTGGCACTAGCAGCGCGCCAAAGTAGGGAACGCTCGACGCATATATGGCGACCGTGGTGAGCGCTATGATGCCGTAGGGCACTGCTACTCTTAGCTGGCCCTGGTGCAGCGCGATGATGCGGATGCCTAGAATCACGCACATGGCTGCCTGCTCCGCACCAGACGGGAATCAGCCTCAGCTCGGGGCAAATCTCGCGCAAACGCTCACGTAATTGAGGGTGCAGCAGGTCATGATGGTCGTCAACAAGGCCTGGCAGCCCATGTCGCTGTCTACGGGCGCAAAGACGAACGCTATCGCTACGGCGCAGACGACGATGACGGTGTAGCGGGAAGCCCTGCGCAGAGGTCGACGTGAGGCTGTCAGCGCACGCCTTGGCACGCTCGCTTGCCACCACGCACATGAAAGCCCAGTTTATAAAACGCTGCGAAAGTGTGGGGGTCAGCATGCCCCAACGCAGACTTTTGCGCTGCTCCCTTCGGTCTCTCACAAATTGACCTCTTTTGATCTGCTTCCACCTCTCAAACTCCTCTCCAAGAGTAATGACGTGCTCCCAAAAAGCCATGCTGACAAAGGAAACCAGCAAGATGCGAAAGATTTCGGACTGCGCTCGAGACGAAGAGGGTTATTTGGGTCCAAACAAACATCCTTTTGCGACGTCGGACATGCAACGCACCTGGTGCAACCGATCCATCGGGTTTGCCGAAACGTACTGACCATCGAAGAGCCAGATCTTGTCCCCTCGAAGGACGCCTGCAGGTCGTTCGAGCATGACGGGCAAAGTAGGATGATGATGAGGGTGCGCACGTGAGCGCGTCGCTGTGACTAGATGAGTGGGGGCCGCGAGGACCCTAGACCAGGTGGTAGAGATGCAAGCGCGATGAGCCACCTTGCGAGCGATCGATTGCCACGCAGCACATATAAGTGAGTGGCTACATTCCAAGGGCCTGGCAGCAAGAGGTGCTCCCTGACCCGAGGTACGGAACGCCCGAACACTCACGACTATAGCACCTTCGACTGGATCACTCCTCGACGCTCGCGGTGAGACAGCCGTCGGGTCAGGGCTGCGCGGCAGGGCTGCAGACGATCGATGCATGCCTTTCGCGATGGAGCAAACGATCCACTCATCGCACTCCAAGCTAGGCGCGCGGCGCCTTTACAAACTCGCCAGCGCGGGACTACACAGCAGTCAGCTGTCATCGACGGCAACAGTCGCCTGAGTCGCTTCACCATGCACACGCTGCGAGTGGGCGCTCAAATGGTCGCGCGACTTTGGCGGCAGCAATCGCGTACGTGAAAGGCAATTTGTGGCCCAAAGCTGACCGCGTTCCTCGGCCGGCTCAGTCAACGCAGGCGACTCTTCGGCCTCACCCAATCACGCCTGCGTGCTATATACTCATGACTCGGTCGTGAGTGGCGCATCTACCAGCCATCGCGAATCATGATGACAAACGCAGCGGTGACTCGGCGGTGTACTGATCGTGATCGACTCACCCAACCCACAACTGTGGCGCACGACGTCGACGCATCACGGCTGCGCGGTGCCAACCCATCGTCGCCACTTGTATCGCGCGCGCGTTGATCAACTCTCGGTATACCGCGGTCAAGCAATCAAAAGTGCAAACGAACATCGTTTGCTACGCCGTGTTGATGATCGGGTCCGTGCAAGCCCTGCACTGGAAGCGACTCGAGTCAGCGCACAACAGCACCTCATTGCACTCCGAAAGTATAGGGCCATGATCGAGTTGCAGCCTCGCTCATCTCTCTTGCGCGCGCGCGCGTCGTATGCTGATGCACATTACGCCTTCAAGACCGAGTCGGAGCAGTCAATATCGGATGCTTGCCTATAGCACCCAGACCCTCGATTCTACAATGTCGTACCGCAATATAGGCAGCCTTTCAAGGCAAACTGGTCGGTCGTCTGCCGCACCGCACCGCACTGTCCATGCTCGTCTCGGATTCCGCCAAGCAAAATTCATTAGAGAGGGCGAGAAGCGAGTGATGACGGGAGTTTACAGCTAGACATACGTGGGACTCGCTCGCGACCGCGGCTTTGCGCACTACTTGGACGCTCTGATGCTGACTTGGCCATCGCACTGCGACGCCAGGCGAGCGACTCGAGAAGGTGACTTCATCATTGCCACACCGCGGCCGGCTCATCTTATTCGTCGCACGCATGTATAGCGCCCAAATGAGGCCAATTCGACAGCTTGATTGCACCACCAGCCCCTCGATCGAGGTAGAGTCACAAAGTCCCGCTTGAAGTAGGGCGAGTTTGAGATGACGACTCGCTCGTGACTTGCGGGCCAAGATCTGAAGCATATGTTACGGTCGAGCCAAGGCGTGCCATGGTCGCTCGTCTCCGCCTATAGTCCCGACTCGCCGCGAACTGTGCCAGCGCTCGCCATGCGCTCTTTAAGCCGTCGGAAATTCATCGGTTCGCGCGCGCGCTAGACGAAACATCAACGCTAAAGCGCACCGCGGTCCGTAAAGTCTAGCTATCGGCATCCAAGTGATGTGCGATTGATACCTTACCGGGGAATACCGTCAGGCAGCTGCACGGCACGCCGGCACGGAGCGAAAAAAAGAGGTACGAATTGCGCTCCCCGGCTCGCACGTCTTTGTGTAATCAAGGTACAAGATTCGAACGCTGTCGACCGCAAGGGGCCGCGCACGACTGCATTCATCTCACGTCGCCACAGCCGAAAGGTACCGTCGGTGACAAGCCCATCAAGATTGCGCAGGCATAGGGCTCTCCACCGTCTTCATGAGGTAGAATCGACCTGCAGCGGTGATGGCGTCTTCGACTGCCAGACCGCCATCCTCGCCCACACCCTGCGCGCCATCTACTTTGCCACCAGCGCGGCCACCGATGCTCTTGGACACCAATTCCGCCCACTCGCGAGCATCCAGGCCCTTTTCGACATCTTGCTTGGGCACAAAGTTGACGTGCGTCACTTTTGCCTTGGTAGAGGCAGCGTCCGCCTTGTTGACGGGCGCAGCCTCGGGAGCTGGATCCTGAGTGAACAAGTAGATTGCCTTGTTCAGCTTCTTGGCGATCGCCACACCCTGTTGCAGAGCTTTCGAGTTGGAGCCAACGTTGAATGAGCGAATCAAGTACGTGGCGTCCTTGTTGGCGTCGAAATACTCCTGAACGCCTGCTTGCACCTCCTTGGTCTCGGCAAGTTGTCTCTTCTTATTCTCTGCATCGAGCGCCTTGCGAAGAGCAGAGGACTTTTCGACCAGCTTGGCTTTGCGAAGCACTCCGAGCTCTGTGGGGCCAAGCTCGGTGGTGAACACCTTGAGACCAGCCTCTTGTTTCGAGCGGTCCTTCTCAGCTTCGAGCGCAGCTAGTTCTGCATCGCGCTGATCTGCCAGACGCTCGACTACAGCCGCCTCTTCGCCCGTCAACGCCACCACTCGTCTGATGCCCTTGGCGATACCGCTTTCCTCCACCACCACCAAGCGCCTAATTTCTCCCGTTTTTGCCACATGTGTGCCGCCGCAGAATTCCACACTGGCGCTGCGCCATTTTGCATTCTCCACGTCCTTGACAATGTCTTCCACGTCGAACTCGAGCGTGACGACGCGGACAGGATCAGGGTACGCCTCGCCGAATACTGCGCGCAGTCCTGGAATCTTGTGAGCGTGCTCAAGTTGAACTTCCTTGGCGTACACGGCCACATTTCGCCTGACCCAGTCGTTGCAAATGTCTTCAATGCGCGACAGCTCCGCGAGTGGAATGCCAGACTTGTGGCTAAAGTCGAAGCGCAACTTTGTGGGAGCGACCAACGATCCTCGCTGATCAATGTGGTCGCCCAGCACTTCGCGCAAGGCAAAATTGAGAATATGCGTGCCAGTGTGG